TCCACTTTTTCTATTTTTGTTTTTATTTATTTCCAAAGTTGAAAAATTTCTAATTTTTCCCTGAGCATAATCATCCATATCTCGTTTAAAGAAAAAAGAAAAAAGAAAAAGAAAAAAAGAAAAAAGTCTGGGTGCTAAATTAAAAACAGGCAAATTGCTTCACACTCTGGTGCAATCCCCAAATTCACCAAAGAAAGGAATAGTGTGTGATAGTGAGTGGAGCAAAGTACCACTAAGAGACAGTAAATTAAAAAATATGTTTACAAACTATTCTGATGAATGGAGGTTCTTCCAATAAAACATGTTATACATAAAAGAGAAGGGAAAACACAGGTAATAGTGCAGATTGTTTGTATAAAAATAAAAAATATATAAGTATGCATCTATTTATAGATCAGAAGTCATCTCTGCAATAATAAGCCTGAGAGGCCATAGTAGAAAAAATGACAATGATTTATTTTCTGCCACATGCAGAGTTAAAATCCATAAATACATAAACAAGAATAAAAAGTGGTAGAGAGAAAGGGTGGTTAGCCCCTTACAGGATTTGATGGTGAGTATGACAGATATGTCTACTCACTATAGCACTTAGAATAGCAGGGTGGCCGGCAGCACTGTGGAGTGTTCTCCCTGTTTGGCTGGATGTTGCTGTATAATGCCGGTCTCCAAACAAGCTGCTTCAAACTCTGTGGTCTAAAGGCTCCTCCCCTATAGCACTTAGAATAGCAGGGTGGCCGGCAGCACTGTGGAGTGTTCTCCCTGTTCGGCTGGATGTTACTGTACAATGCCGGTCTCCAAACAAGCTGCTTCAAACTCTGTGGTCTATAGGCTCCTCCCCCTGTATGACGTCAACGCGTTTCACCGGATGGCTTCCTCAGGAAAGAGAAAAAGAGAAAAAAAATGTTTCATTAAAATGTATAATTGTTAATTTAGAATTGTTATTATAAGTTTTACATGATATTTATTATACATTTTAATGAATTTTTTTTTCTCTTTTTCTCTTTCCCATACTATATATTTTATTCCCCTGGAGTATAATATTGAAATTCACTGTATTTTAATAGATGTTTTTCATGCTTATTTTAAGAGTATCCAACGGATATGTGTGGTAAAAACTTTTTAGAATGGATATGTGCATTAAAGACTCTTTTAAAGTGGAAATAGGTACTAAAGAATATTGAGGGAGGACTTTTTTCGCCGGAACCTGGAAGCCTACAGGACTACAAAACAACATGGCCGCTGACCCGGAAGCGTCCATAGGACTACAAAACAACATGAACACTGACCCGGAAGTGTCCTTTGGACGTATGACCGGAAGTCAGCTGATCGGGGACCACGACCGGAAACCGGAAGTGAACCGGCGGGAAAGCTGAGCGCGCCTTTTTTAAAGATATATAAATTAACAATTTGTGAAGATATGTAGCACTTTGATAAAGACCATTATCGGTCAAAGCGCGTTAGTGCAATATATTTGGAGATTCCATTATATGCTTATATGCTTTTTTATATCATTTTAAGTGAAATAAAGGTTTATTTGTTCCAGTATTTCTCTACCTGGCATTTATCAAAGAGAAACTTCGGAAGGAACTATCTTTACCTGCTGGTTAGCATTTGGGTCTCCAGGATATCTTAAAAGGCACTTGTAGTCTGAGCCACTCTTTCAGGCTCAGCACCACGTGAGTGGGCTATTTTATATCTTATTTAATTTGTCCTTTACATACAGGCTATACTATGTTATTTATTTTATACTTTTAGGACATTTATGTGAAAATTCAAGATAAAGGGTAACATTGCATGTTCTTATCTTGTTCACATTTGGTGTATAGTGCTCTCACCATATTTTATTTTACTATGCTGTTCCAGTTCGACTGCTAGGAGTGTAAACCTTTTCGTATGTTTTTTTCTATTCGGCTGTTTACGGCATTCATATGCTTCTCCGGTTCGGTGGATTGGTGTCTACAGTAGCTGCCTGTATATCTGGAAGGGGAATATCTCCTAAACGGCAGTTTAACCCTTGTATGCCTGGGGGGTGCCGTTACACAGAGTGAGGGGTGACAAGTGACAGAGGGAGGGATGGGGTGACTAGGGACAGAGGGAGGGAGGGGTGACTAGTGACAGAGGGAGGGGTGACTAGTGACAGAGTTAGGGGATGACTAGTGACAGTGAGGGAGGGAGGGGTGACGGGTGACTAGTGACAGAAGGAGGGAGGGGTGACTAGTGACATAGGGAGGAAGGGGGTGACTAGTGACAGTGAAGGATGGGGTGACTAGTGGCTGAGGGAGGGAGGGGGTGACTAGTGACAGAGTTAGGTCACCCCCTAACAGTGAGGGAGGGAGGGGATAACTAGTGACGGAGTGAGGGAGGGGATAACTAGTGACTGGAGGGAGGGGGGTGACTAGTGACAGAGGGAGGGAGGAAGTGACCAGTGGGCAGAGTGAGGGGGGGGTGACTAGTGGTAGAGTGAGTGGAGTAAAGCATTAGTGACAGAGTGAAGGAGGGGGTGACAAATGTGAGGGGTGACTCAGTGACAGAGTAAGGGAGGGGGTGTACAGGAGTGGGAAGGCTGAGGGGGTGACAATGAGGGGATGACTAGTGACAGAGAAAGGGAGGAAGTGACACAGTGACAGAGTGAGGGAGGGGGTGACTAATGAGAGTAAGGGAGGGGGTGACTAGTGAG